CCAAGCCTGATGACCCAAGTGCCATCCTTGGAACCCACATGATGGGAAAAGAGAAACATATCTGACCATTGCACCGCAGATCTTCACAAGCATGCCCTGGCAAATGTGCACACACAGTCTGTCAGTCAATAAATGTGGAAGTGTTGGAAAGCCTGAAGGAGCACAAGCTATGGAAAGTAGAACCAGTGACTATAGGAAGTTCCTGAGAGGTTCTGGCTGGAGGCACACAATAGAGACCTAGGATGTCACTCACCAGGGGACACTTCTGGAGGCAGAAACCACCACTGCCAATTTTGTTGGCAGAGTTGCTGCAACATTGAAGGTCTTGAAGGCTGTGAGTGTAGCTTGGTGACTGAATACTGGCCTAGCATGCACAAAGTTGTCAGTATAGTCTCCAGCACTGCAAAACATTGCAGACCTGAGGAGGCATTGAAAGTCTGGGAGCGTGCCACTGGTTGACTTAAGATTGCTTTTCTGCCAGGACCCTCAACTGTGTCACAACCAGGCTACTCACTGCTCTAAGACACAGAGTTTTTTCTTTAAAATAGGGGGGAGGGTCTCTTTATTCCTATATCTTTCCCATATCCTGTGGTCACCTCCTTGTGGAAGACATCTTACTCAGAAATCATTAGGCTAGAAAATTTGGGGGATTCAATTTTCTGTGTTTCAGCCCCAGAGCATGAAAGGACAGGAAGAAAGCCAGTGGGGTGGGAGTGGGGGACTTGGGGGCAACAGAAGTGAGCGTCACACACACATAGTCAGCCAAATCTTCAACATAATTCCAATTCTGTGCTTTCCTGTCTGCCCTGGAAATGACTGTATTGTGTTGAAGTCAAGTATCAGTATCCTTTATTGTTCATAACCTGGCAAAATAAGTTGTAGCATCTTAAATTTCTGGATACTTCCTTAGGCCAGTATTTCTGTTCTATATTCTGTAACACTCATCGGGAATAAAACAGGTCAAGGTCAAATGAGTTTTGGAAACTTCACTCTATACATCCCTCTTGGAATTTCCCACGTTAGGTTGGCATGTGAATACTAGAAATCCATCAACTCCCAAGTGTATTTGACACTTTTTGACTTTGCAGTTGTATGCTGTAGTGAGATGGAGTTTAGGGTGGAGAGATAGAATAAAGTGTGTGTGGTGTGTGGTATGTTTTGTGTGTGTATGTGTGTGGTGTGTGTATGTGTGTTTGTGTGTGTATGTGTGCGGTGTGTGTATGTGTGTTTGTGTGTGTGGTGTGTACATGTATGTGTGTGTATGTGGTGTGTGTATATGTGTGTGTGTGTGTGTGTGTGTGTGTGTGTGTGTGTGTGTGTGTGTGTGTTCCTGCACAGGTATGTACATACATTTTCAATGAAAGAGAGTGAAGTGATAGAAAGTTTAAAGGAACAGCCCGGTGAAAAGACACAGCTAGGACAGTTAGGACACACCCTTTGAAGAAGGCTGAACCCAAACAAGCAGATGGAATCCACCGTGCGGAGTCCTCAGCAGCCCATGAATCAGATGCCGTTAGCAAACTGTTCCTGGATCCCAACTAGTTCATTGAGAGTAAACATTTGTAACATATAAAGCAATTTGATAAGACCACATTTACGTCTGTTTAATCTGAAACCAAAACTCTTTCATCTTTTTCTAATAGTTTTTTTTTTTGGGGGGGGGGTCTGTCTTTTACAAAGGTGTAATTACATGGCAGCTTCTGGAGAAAAAAAAAAAAAAAACAATCCTTCCCTACACTTAGTTTGAAAGGCTCTTTGTAACCCAAGTCAGTCACAGCTGCAAAAGCCCCCAAGAAAGAGGCTGTTGAGTTGGAGGAACTGACAGGATGCTCATGAGTGGGAGTGAAGCCATGTGTTATATGCAGAGCTCTGAAGAGGAAGAGTTTGGGTCACAGTCCAAGCAGTGGAGTCCACTAAAGAATTTTAAGTGACTCAAACTGACACAGCATAGATTTTTTTTATACAACCATTGAGCACTTTTATTGGATGGTGAAAGAAAAAGTGTGAAACAGGTTGATCAGGTCAGAGCCATTCAGAACTCTGTTAGAAAGTGGGGGGTGGGGTGGGGGGGTGGACTGCAGTAGCAATGGACAGGAGGAAATTAACTGGGAGAACTGAATGAGCTGGCACACGTGTCTCAGTGGTGTATCAGAGACAAATTGGGAGAAATGGGACACTAGAACAGGAAGATGGCCAGCTTCCTCTGAGGAAAACTTAAGGCTGTGTGATATTTAGAGATCATAGTTACTAAGTTCTCATAGCATCAGAGACCAGATGACACTGAATACAACATAGAAGGGGGAGAAGTTGAGAGCCGAGGACTGGGTCCTACAGAGTAACTTGGGACCCTGTAAGAGTCTAGTATAAAGAGAACTGACTGCCTTGAAAGCATGCTGATCATTTGTGTCTTGTGTCCCTAACATTAAATTCTTCTTAGTAAATTTACTTTTTTCCCTATTACATAAGAGTCCATGAAGGATGTTGTCAAATATATAAGGGTCCCATATCTGAAGGGACCAGTATTGGCACAAGACACCCCAAGACCAAGGTCTCAGCACAAAGGAGGTTTATTTGCCCCAGAGAGACAAAGACAGGGAATAAGAGACAAAGGAGGACAAGGGAGAAGGGGAAGGGAACAGGGGAGAGGGGGAAGAAATATTTGCCTCTGGAGGGACAAAGGACTGCCTCTGGACAGAGAAGAGACAGATGTGGTCCATAGGAAAATAGCAGTTTACAAAGGGAAAAGAGGAAACCCATATTAGGATGATGTGTTTAATTTTAATTGGGCATGTTAATTAGGGTAGCCAAAGGGGGCTTTTGCTTGCTGGACTTCAATACTTTGATAACTGGACCTTGGTGGTCAGCCTCAGGAGGAGGAAGTGGCCAAATAAGGGAACAGACCTTGGTGGCTAGCTTTAGGAATGTAATCTATTTCTTTCCTTCCTTCCTTCCTTCCTTCTTTCTTTCTTTCTTTCTTTCTTTCTTTCTTTCTTTCTTTCTTTCTTTCTTTCTTTTTTGCAAGGTAGGGGGAATGGGAGAGAAGGGCAAGGCCTGCCAGAGTCGTGTTTGCCATGCTCATGCTGGCTAGAGCCTCTTCAACATTTCTAAGAATTTTCTGTCTTGAAGGGTCTCTAAAAATATGTGCAAAAGTCCAAGATGGTCGTGATGATGCTATGAAAGAATTATAAGTCAAAAGGAGACCTGTAGAAGTCAGTGTGTGAGGCTTCTCAGAGGGTATGACATTGAGCTGAACTTGGGGTGCATGAATTTTAAAAATCCTATATATAAACATAGTGTATATGCTAGCCCCATATACACACCTATTCATTTTTGTATCTATATTAGTCTCTATATTATTCTCTGAGTGCATAGTTCCAACCCAATTCCAGTTCAATAAAGACTCATCTGTTCTTTGACAACTAGAAACTTAGTCCTAATGGTTTGCAATGTATTTCCTTAATTGTGTTGTTCTACTATACCCAAGGCATCTCAGAATTGCTAATTCATGCTCCTGTTGGAAACACTATTTATAATATATCTGAATATTTTTGGCTTTAGTTTGTAATAGTATCCTATAAAAATACTGATTTCTAATATTCCTTAGTTAATTTTGTCCTCTATCTCTTTTGCTGTGGTAATTATTCAGGGGTAGGTTTGGTAACATTTGTTTATATGAATAACATTTGTTTGTAGTCTATTTATCAGTACCTCTGCTTGTGTGCTTTTATTTAGTTGACAGAGAGTAAAATGTACTCCTCATAGTGTTTTGTTCTTCAGGCTTTGACAAATGCTTAGAGTTATGTACCTACGACCACAGTCATGGCACAGAGTGTCCCTGTCACCTCAATGTCCTTTGTGTTTGCACTTCTGCAGAGAGTCACTCCCACTACCTCTAAACTGTTATCTGTTTCATTTCAACTTTGTATAGATGGGGCAATACAATGGCCTTTGAGTCTGGCTGCTTTCACTCAGCAAAGTATATGTGGGATTCACTAGTGTGGTTTCAAATAGCAATAGCTCATTCTTTTTTAATGGCAAGCAGTATTTGATTGATTGGCCACACTGTGTTTTATCTGCTGACAGGTTGAAAGACATCTGGGCTGTCTTACAAATAGAGATATGGTAGACATTCAGGTGTAGGATTTTTCTCTCGGCATGTTCTAAGTTCTTTTGTGTAAAGACACCTAGGAGCTGTTGAATCTTTTCAACTCTTTGATTTTTAGTTTGGTTAATTACCATTGACAGGGATTCAAAGCTATCTGATGCTTTCACAGGGCTTGGGAGCCACAAAAGGCTCACACTCTTCTTTCAGCTCCATGCTTGTGGCTTTCACTCCTTGCATGCCAATTTGGCTGACTCTTTGTTTGTTTGTTCCCATCTGTTGTCATCTGTTCTTACCAATGTTTACACATTTCTGAGTTATTTTAAATTCCCCATCACAGGTCCTACCCTGGTAGACTACCTGAGTTTTGTTTTTTGTTTTGTTTTGTTTTTTGTTTTTGTTTTTTTTTTTCTGTTTGGTGACTTGTGATTTGTTTATGACCTGTGATCAGTCATTTAAAGTCACACCTGGTTTAGGATACAGAGACAAGATAACAGAGTTTATGCTGGAAATGGGTACATGAGTCCTGCTGCTGGAATTCTACAGTGACTTTGATTAGGAGTTGGCTGTCCTTGATTCTCCTTGGCACTCTGCTGGGATCAAATTCCTTTGCAGAGTTCAGGTGGGATGGGGTGTGCCTGTAATCCCAACCTGGGGAACAGGACCAGTTAGAAGCTAGCTTGAACTAATAGGGAGATCCTGTCTCAAATAATCAAATCATCCCCCTCCCCTGCATCGTGCACACACACACACACACACACACACACACACACACACACACACCATACATGTAAAATAAAATGTTTTAAAAATTTAAAAATGGAGTGACACTATTTTCCAGCTGGATGCTCTTTGCCTGCAGTGACTTCTCAATGTCTGCTTCACCTTAAGCTCCAGGATGTCATCTTCTCTGTACTTATGTGTGACCTTGTTCTTCTTCCAGCAATACCCCATTGATACTTATGACCCACTCATGGGCCTGGTAAAGGCGATGGTAGCTCTTGGTAGTAAGCCTTCTTACGTGGGCACTGGATCTGAGCTTGGGACCCTCTTCATCATGCTACTTACCTGCAGCTATAGTGGTAGGTAAGGCTCAATCAGGATTAGGGTGTCCAGCCTCTCTCATTTCATCAGGGATTGCATCATTTTTAGCGCTGAACATTCTAGAAAAGGAATGATTATTTTCTGTTGCTCGGTTGCAGTGGATTTCCAAGTATCTTAATCATGGCTGTGTTTGTGACTATTGTAACCTGCATAGATGAAGAAGGCTTTTGTTCCAGAGGAAGGTCCTGGCTGAGGATTTTCCTTGGGCAGAGGTGGCGATTCAGCTCTTTCTATGCACATGACTAGGAGCACTCTTAAACAGTGGGGTTGAAGCTGGTGGATTGCACCCTGCAGGAATGTGCACCCTTCCTTATACTCAAAGTTCACAAGGGCCACACACTTGTCAGTCAGCCCATATTTGACCTCTACTAATCAAGTTGAATCCTCTACATAAGGGCTGTGCATGCATAGGTCCTTCTTTCTCTCCCTGCAGCTGCTTCTCCCTCCTTAAATTTTAGGTTTGTCAGTTAGTAATATTCTTTCAAGATCTCCTTTGAGTCTTGTAGTTTTGTGCTAATAAAAATAATCTTAATTGCAAGCACACTGAGCTCATCCCTGCCACATGTTGGCATCCTGCTCATTGGCCAACAATAATTGGCTGTCCAAATGAGACCTAGCAAGCGGAACATAACACCAGTAGCACCCTAGCAAGCCGAGATAGTTGTAGTTTTAAGGGACTAGCCTGAAGAAACAGGTTTCTTTTTCATGCAGCACTGGGCTATCCTGTGCTTGGCCATCCTAAGCCAAGTTTCATTGGCTTAAAGCACATTGGCCACCACATTGACACTGCCTTTCTAATGAAGTTACAAGTACTTGGCAAAAATTAATCTATTGATTAGGTCACAGACCTTAGGAACCAATCACTTCCCAAAAGTTATTCAGCTGGCCACAAGCCTTTCTCCTGTAAGTCTACAAGATAAATTTCAGATCCAAATAATTATATGTAAGTTTGGGTTTGTTGCCATAGATTAATTCAATAAATAAGTAGACAGCAGGGCAATTTGGACATAACAATATAAAAGATATATTGAGTTTTCATGGAAAGTACCCATATCTTAATAGTTTGTGACTCAAAAGTGTGTTGTAAGTTAATGTCTGAATATTTACAATGCAGTACAAGTATTAGTGCAGTGAAGTCTTGTTAGCAGATCCATGGAAACTCTTTGCTGGCTTTTCTCCACCATGGTATGTCCTCAGATATCATTAGCATAACATTTGAAGTCAACTAATGTGATGAACATTATAATTGATCTATCAATTTATAGCTATTATAATATGACCATGGTAAATAGTGTCTGTTTGATTACCTAATATTAGATGAGGATTTTCTTTGACTTACAAATACTATAAATATGATTTGTTGTTTTTGTGTCAGTCAAAAAATGTGTATCTAAAGATACCTTATCAAACATCCAGGCATATGGAACAAAGAGAACATCTTCAACAAATGGTGCTGGCATAACTGGATGCAAGCCTTTTGCCCTGCACAAAACTTTAGTCAAAATGGATCAAAGGCCTCAACATAAACCCAGACACACTGACCTACTAGAAGATAAAGTAGGAAATACCCTTGAATTAATTGGTACAGGAGACCGATTCCTGAACATAACACCAGTAGCACAGACACTGAGATCAACAATTAATAAATGGGACCTCCTGAAACTGAGAAGCTTCTGTAAGGCAAAGGACATAGTCAGCAAGACAAAACAACAGCCCACAGACGGGGAAAAGATAGTCACCAACCCCACATCTGACAGAGGGCTGATCTCCAAAATATACAAAGAACTCATGAAGCTAGTCTGGAAAACACCAAACAATCTAATTAAAAAGTGGGGTACAGAACTAAGTAGACAATTCTCAATAGAGGAATCTAAAAATGGCTGAAAGAAACATGAGAAATTGTTCAACATCCTTAGTCATCAGGGAAAATCAAATCAAAACAACTCTGAGATACCATCTTACTCCTGTCAGAATGGCTAAAATAAAAAATACCAATGACAGTTTATGCTGGAAAGGATTCAGAGAAAGAGGAACACTCCTCCACTGCTGGTGGTGGTGCCAACTTGTACAGCCACTGTGGAAATCA